GGTAAAATAGAAAAAGAAAAAAATGGAAGGGACAAAAATGGAAAAAAAAATTCACTCATGTGAGATGGACCATTAAATAATTAAGTGGGTCTGGATCACTTAGGGGTGTTTGGTACGGAGAATTTGATAAAATTCTTGAAAAAGTAGTGTAGGTGAAATATATTTACCATGTTTGGTATGTGTTTAATTTACCAAATACCAGTATTTTATTTTACCAGGCAAAATGATTTTGTACTAAAGTCTGCAAAAAAAAATAAAAAATGCACTTTCAGACATGGTATTTTTTTATCGGAGAAACTGGATTGCTAAAACGTATTGCTAAAAAAAATGCCCTGAATAAACTTATCGAAAATGGATTACTAAAGCGTATTTGCTGACTGTGATTAAAAATTTGAACATAATGGGTAATTTCATAATTTCACTACACATTTTCATTAATATTTTACCATCAACCAAATATAGTATTAGTAAAAATAATCCCACTTTTCTAGAAAAATTGGCATTTACCAAACACCTTCTTGTAACTTACCCAGGCCAAAAAATATCCCACCATTCTGAGATATTTTTTTTCCCTAGTTATAAAAAATTTCTCTCATGCCAAACACCCTCTTAATTATTTTTCCTAAACGGTTATTGCTCATCTTCGAATGGTTAAATCATTGAATGACTATTAATCATCTTTGATTAATTGGTCAACAATCATTGATTGCTATCTTGCAAATGATCATTATTACATTTTTTATTGAAATTTTCATTAAAATATTGCATTATAATAATTTATCAAATATAATATTGTTGGCTCAATAAAAACAGCTGCTGTTAATAATGATGGAAAAAATATTTCTGCAGTTAATGCAGATAAGTTATTTGCATTTATTCTCAAAATGACGTCGTTTTGGTATTGAAATCTTAAAAAATTATAAATATAAAGATTATTATAACTCTGAAATAAATTAACACTACAAAAACATCATGATTTTCACCCCAAAACAATGTCGTGTTGGGCTTACTGCAGATAACTTATCTATAGTAACTGCAGAAAAAGTGAACCCAATAATAATATGTATCCATTCTGGATTTGAATTCTCTCACGTGAAAAAATGGTCGTTACTTGATTATAATTACTCATTTAAAAATTATTTATTTTTTTCTCTCTTATGTCATCATCAATGAATAGTTGTGATCAAATAACATATAGATTCTTAATAAAACTGCCATCTTTGGTTTTAAAGAATGTAAAAGCCTCTAAACAATTACCAAATTGGATGCTCGAAGGTCTATATATATTCATCTCATTTGGAGTCAACCTCTGTCCCATCTTCTTAAGAGTTAAGACTTCAAGTTAAGAATATCTTCTTGGAGAAACTATAACCATGAAGCTAGGAAGCATTCTCATTGTGTGGGCTTTGTTCGCTCTCTTCAATCACACCTATGGTACGACCACCATCACTTATTTATTAGACTAAACATCATTTTTAGTCCCTGTCAATATCTACGAAGTCCTTTTTAGTCCATGACAATAAAAAAGGACCAAATTGGTCCCTGAAATTATAAAAAAAGGGCCATGTTAGTCCTTATGTCAACTCCCAAATATGTAGAGTGGCCCTTTTCTTGTACTTTCAGAGACCAATTTGGTCCTTTTTTATTGCGAGGACTGAAAAGGACTTCGTAGATATTGCCAGGGACTAAAAATGGTGTTTACTCTATTTATTATTATTACTAGTAGTAGTTGTAGTAGAGTACATTACATTCTCAAATAAATTGACTTGTTTAAAACACACAGGGGATCCTAAGTTTTGTCCCAAACAAATGACGTTGGATGGCAAATGTGACGGAGTTCATGGAGGCTTCGACTGTTTTCAAGAATTCAACTCGAAATATGGAGCAAGCGCCATGCCTATGCATTGCCATTGTGGAGATCTTCCCAATAATAAACGACTATGCACATGTGATGTTGTTTGTGGAAGATGAGAAAAATGTTGCCTGCACTCCATATTAATAATACAATAAATAATTGTGAAATAACACAATAGCAGCATCTTATATATTGGAGATTTTAAAAAAGCCCTTACATCCTAATTATGTATAATTAGTTATTACATCTAATGAATTTTTAATTTTGTTATTTAAAAGGACCGAGAAACTTAGGGATGTATTGGATTAGGATTTTAAAAGTGTGAGATAAAAAATCTTATAGATTTTAAAAGACTATTTAAAAAAACTTCTGTGGGGGACCGAGAAACTTAAGGGCGTGAATTGTTTTGGATTACGTGATGAGAGTTTTCTAACCATATATCATATGCATATTTTCATTGAATATTCTAAAAAATTTCGAATCTGAATTTTTTGGGTTCTATTACATGAAAGTTTAGAAAAAAATTTAAATTTTTTTAATCAATACATTGAAACCTTAAATTGTTTTAAGGCTTTTGAAAAATAAGTTTTTAGTTATCTATTGACACAAGAATTGTTTGAAATTATTTCCTATAGTGAAGGAATTTCGTTCATGTATGTATTATTACGAAATATAAGGTTCATATTATGAAAGTTTCAATCTTTCTTTAAAGGGTTCGCTTTTTCTACAGTCAATGTAGATAACTTATCTACATTGAGCTTAAAACGACGTCGTTTTGGAAGCGAATGTAGATAACTTATCTATATTCACTGTAGAAACGTTAAAGCTTCTTTAAATTGATATTGTTTCATTGATATAAAACGAAAATTGGTTTGAGGGTTTTAGTTCCCCTGTTATTTTTTCACTATTTTATGTTGCTTTTAATATAAAAATCACATCTTTTTGTGCTAAGAAAAATCGCGACCTATAGCTTAAAATTCACTTTTTAAACTTCCAAAATTTCTCAAAAAATGGCTCAAAAATATGTTGTTTTTGAGATAGATTATATTAAAATCTCGTTGGTTTGTTGTTTCTGGGTTGTTTTGTAATGAAAATTGCTCAAAAATATGCTATTTTTGAGTTTTGACGAAGCTCCCGTAGCAGAACCCGATTTTGAGCGTGTCAACCTACCAAAGGAAGAAGAAAATAATGCAATAGATAAATCTCAAGAAATCCTACGGGTTAGAGTGAGATTGTGAGAGAGAAATCTTATTTATATTTTTTACTAAAAAGTCTCACGAAAACCATATCAATAGAAAATTCATTAAAATAGTTAGATTTTTTAATACCACAAGACTGTTTTTTCATTGTTTAAAATCTTGATTGAATACCAACGGATTTGAACGGATTATAAAATAATCTTTTAAAATCCTAATCGAATACCACGTGACTTTTTTTCAATCTATTAAAATCCTAATTAAATACCAATAGATTTTTTTGTCTAAAAATAATCCACTAAAATCCTTTGAAATCCCAATTCAATACACACCCCTTAAACTCAAAAATGAATTGATAATAAATGTTAGTGTTTGTGTAAGAAATGTCTCGTGTACCTGTGGTAAGTGCATATGATTTAATAATTAATGAAAGGGCTAAATTTGTACCCAAGAAAAATAAAATGAAAGGGCTAAATTTAGATCCATGGTCGTTTGTATAGAAAAGGCTTTGTTGGAAGAGGCTGTACCCACGATCGTGTGATCTCTCCGTCTCGAGGGCATTAGTCCTTGGCTTTCGGCTGACAATTTTAAAAAAAAAAAAAAATGACTTTTGGAAAAAGTTTTACTAATTACTTGATGGTAGTAGTCATATCCATTGGATTTGAAGAATAATATCTTTCGGAGATACATAATTTATATAAAGATAGGAACTTGTCCATTTATTCTTTGACAGTTAGAGACGCTTAAACTTGTCCATTGAATCTACCCTCAATTCCACATGAATTGCACCTGCACTACTTAAGCTCCAATGTTACTTAGCTTGTTATGGGTGTGTGCGTTATGGCCATGCATGTAATAATAAGTTAACAAGCTTTTAATATTTATGCGTGAGTTATGGCCATGTAATAATAAGTTAAGAACTAGGGGTATGTGAGTTATGGCCATGTAATAATAAGAACTAGGGGTATGTGAGAAATGGCCATGTAATAATAAGTCAAGAAGTTTTTAATTTCTATGCGAATATCAATTGTAAGGATGTTTAGAGCTATCAATGAATAAGTAATGGCCATGTGAGTAAATCATATTTTCTGTCAAAGACTTCTATTAAGAATTCATGCAAGCATGTGTAGAGCTATCAATGCAAAATACTGTGCTGGAAATATAATAGCCAATGTTCATATACATCACATGTAATAATAAAATAATATATAATATTGTTATAATAGAAACAAAACAAACAATTTTAGCTTATTTGTTCTTTGCCATCCGTCAGCCAATAAAAAAAAAAAAAAAGAAAAAAAAAAGCCCACTTCTCCAAAGTAGGTTGAAAATGTAAACCCATTTGGTTTTGTGGTAATTTGGAGGGTCGGTTTGTTTAAAAAATAAACAAGATTAAAAATTAAAAATAAATTATAGTTAATAAATTGTATAATTTATTTGATTTTATTTCACTCTCTCAATTTTTTTCAAACTTAAACCTAAATATATGTTAATATTCGATGAAACATCTTTAAGAATTTATCTTTGTCTTCATATATGGATAGTCTTCTTTTATTTTTACTAGTAGAGTACTAATATAAAAAATCTAGATAGGAAAATCAATTGGTCATATTACATGACCACTTCATAATTTCCTGCATACTCATTAAAAATGAGCTCCACATAATTTTCTTTTTTTCCTATTTAAATTTAAGTGGAACCTATGTATTTTTCTCTCATCAAAAGGACACAAAGCTCTTGCAGCAGCATGATAGACGATTACCCCTCTTATATATCACAAAAATTTAACACGAAAAATAAAATACTTCCTGAGAATAAAAAAAAAATAATGATCCGACAAGCTAACTAATTTTGACCCACTCTTATGTCGTCGGACGGGTTGAAATGAGTTAATAATTTGGAAATATTAACTAAACCTATCATTTATGGCGGATTAAACAGACCAACAGGATGTACCTATTTTTGTTATGATGTCTCCGGCTGGCTATTCATACGCAAGAGAGGAGGATGCCTTGGCATATATGTCAAAGTGCTTTCTTGTTAATTTTAACATTGATTTTTGTAATCCAATCCCAATGGGTGTCGGTCGCGGTGGTTAATAGTGACAGAGAAGGGATGGTCGACGACTCGACAACGTGGTCTCTTAATTTGACATTAATGCATCTTGACTTACTTGTAGTTCTTGAGTCAATTATTTAATTAACAAACCTAACCAAGAAACTCCAGAACTGATATGAACCATGATACCTTAGAAGGGACGCTGCGATGGAGGGCTAGAAAACTTTACGAAGCTTTGTTTCTTCCATCAATCATCTTCAGGTTCCTTCCAGCAGCACGCAACCTATCTATTATGTGATATGTGAGACCTCTCTAATCTGTATTTCGTATGGGCTATTATTTCATGATTGTCGAAATTTCTTCATTTTTTCTTAATATTATTAGTTTAATAATAGAAGGAAAAAATATTTCTGGAATCGGCATGTATGTATTAAACTAATTCAGGGGCAGTGGATGATGCATTTCAGATATGGTTAGGTTTGCAGATTGAAGTCAAGTACAGCTGAATCTTTGTGTTCGTCTCAAATTTGGAATAATGCTTCTCAAATGTTTGGGTTTTTGCCGCTCAGAGCATACAAGTGCATCTCGGAGACAGAGACAGTATCCAACAGTAATAGAGGAGCTGTGCCATCAATTTTCCCTGGATGATCTTAGGAAATCAACTAACAACTTTGATGAAAACAAAATACTTGGACGTGGAGACTATTGTACAGTATATAAAGGTTGTCTCCAACATAATGGTGCTACAGATTATACAGTGGCCTTAAAGCGAATGTGTGAGGGTACTGGCCCAGTGTGCCAACAGTTCAAGAAGGAAATAGAGTTGCTCTGCCAGCTTCATCACCCTAATTTGATGCCTCTTATAGGATTCTGCAATAACAAAGATGAGAAGATTATTGTGTACGACTACATGCCCAATGGATCTTTCGATGATCGTCTTCGTCAACGCAATGGGGACAAGATACCACTCTCATGGAAGAAAAGGCTAGAGATATGCATAGGAATATCAAGTGGGGTACACTACCTTCACACGGGAGCCAAACGCACCATAATTCACCGTGACATAAAACCTAGTAACATCCTTTTGGACAGCAATATGATTCCCAAACTCACATATTTCAGCCTTTACTTACAAGGACCACTTTTTTCCTCAAAGCCAAAACTTATTAAAACTGAACAAGTTGCAGGTAATTTTTTTATCTTATAAGATTACTGCGTAGAATATTATCAATTAATTCAACTAACACTTTCAGTTATAGGTACAATTGGTTTCTTAGCTCCTGAGAATTTCAGCAAACCTATGCCCGACTTGACAGATAGAAGTGATGTTTATTCCTTTGGTGCGTTTCTGTTAGAAGTGGTTTGCAGAGAGTCATATACTAAAATTTTAAGGGAGATGAGAGAGCTCCCAAGTGAAGAATTAGATATGCCTATAATTTCAGATGGTGCACGTGTTCCTAACATAATGCAAGGGCTCACAGTTGAGCAGATTATTGATCCCACTATTGCGGGAAAAATAGCACCAGATTGTTGGGAAGTGTTTATAGATATCATAGACAGATGCTTGAAGCATGAACCAAGTGAACGACCAGCTATGGGCGAAGTAGAGGTGGAACTTGAGCATGCTCTGTCATTGCAACAGGAAGCTGATGCCAACAACACTAGTGGCGAGTATAGCTTCTTATCGACCAGCATTACTCAACCTCAACAATTACAAGAGGAGGCGCCAATTTCAGCATAGAGTTATTAGTTGCGGTCATCAGTTGTTCTTGTATTGTTTCCACATGTTTCTAATTTTAGCGAGCAAAGTACATAAGCAAAATACCAATGAGAAAAAACAGAAGCAAAGGAACATGTGAATTAAATATACAATTAATTACTATTATCGAAAATAAATAACGTAGAACATACATTTTATGATGTGCCATCTAGTAGGGGTTTCTCTATAATTTGAGTATTTTTTTATAAAATGTTTCTATGGATGTATAAATCTTCCAAACCATTCTCAATGTGGTGTAGGCAGTGCGTGGATTTTTTAACTTATCCTTTAGGGGGCGTTTGGTATGAGAGATATTTTTTTACCGAGAAAAAAAGATTGTTAGGTATTTGATAGGAATTTTGTTATATCGAATAAGTTACAAAAAAGTGTTTGGTTGACCAAAATTTTGCAGAAAAAATTGAATTAATTTTACTGATGCTATGTTTGATTGAGGGTAAAATATTGATAGAAATTTGAATGAAATTACAAAAATACCCATAATTTTTGAAACACGAAAAGTGAGTCATCGTTCGTCTTTATCTCTGTCGAGGTTGGAGGCGAAAATTTAGCCTCTCCTCAAAACAGTATACTATGGAACATTGTGGTTTAACAAAAATCAGAAAAATATTGTGCTTCATAAAATAAAATATCAAAATAAAAAGATAAACTTGAGAGTTCATATACGACAAGTACAAATGAGAGGTTCGGACTTTATGCTTCACAGATGAAACAAAGTGGAAAAAAAAAAGAACTTGTGAGGGTTTGAAGCACCTCGAGCCAGGCAACAGAGATGGACTATGCCAAGAAGAAGAAGATCTAAAATTACTATATTTTTACGGTTTCATCTTTTTCTTGTAATGACATAACTAATAAAGATATCTTCATTTTTTATTTTTAGGTACCTGAACATCCCTCGAGGTTTAATGAAATTTATGTCTTCAGGATTAACAATTTTCTCCATATTATGACCATCTTGATCATTTTCTCCTTTCCACTTTTTGAGGATTTTTATCCTTGGAACCGACCATTTTCCATGTTTTAAGTATAATTTATCAACATGAATTGGAACATTTACAGTTGGAATATTAGACTTATTGGTCAGTTAAACCATCTAACAGTCGATGTATACTATCTTTTTCTCATATTTGCTTTGCAAGAGGATTTATATGAGATAATGATAATGTATTCTATATTTTTCCAATTGTTTATTCTCTCCCCTTCATGTTGGAAAGACTAATAACAATAATCAAATGTTGATTTAACCAAATCTTCATTCATTATTTCTAGATATTATATATGGATATTCATATCCAACATACATTCCCAACTATATTTGAGGTTTCATCTTTGTGCTTTGTGATAAAGTAATTAGAATATAAATCGCACATATAAAAGTTATAATATCACAAATATTTGGCTCTTGACCATAAATCAATGTAATGGGGAGATTTTATGATAACGCATGATATGTACCGGTAATGTAGCATATAAAATAATATATCTCTATGTCGAAATGAGAGACTTTTTGACCCTTATAACTTTTTATTAATAATTAATTATCAAATTGACCTTCATTATAAACTATTTCAAAAATTTAACCTCCTCAAAAAACATAACACCAATTTGCCCCTGTTTGACCGTTGACCACCAAGCCTACTCGGGTACACTCCTCTCTACCCGAGTATTTTTTGGAAATTTATACCTACCCGAGTAGGGAGGGGTATACCTGGGTAAATTTCTTGACATCTGGAAAATTATTTAAATTATTTATCCGGGTATGTAGGGGGTGTACCCGGGTAAACTATGTTATATAAGAATCTGAGAAAAATAAATACAGCAACAATTAATAATCAGCATAGGTAGTTGATCAATTTGAGTGGTTGATGATTCTCCTATTCTCAGCTCTGTGTTCAGTCCCTCCACTTTTTGCTTCAACTCCTCCTTATATGCATCTTCTTCTTTCTCGTTGGATTCTTTGGTTCTAGTCTCTTCTTTCACTCTCAAGTTTTCCTTCTCAATCATAATTATATTCTTCAATATTTTAAGCTTGTTTTTCTTAGATTTTGTTTTGTTTTGTTGGAAAAATATTCGAAGTAAGAGATCGCTGAGAATTTGCAGGAAGATGAATATGATCTGAGCTTGAGGCCAAGGATGAAGGCGAGTTTGCTTGAAAAATCGATGAAGGAAGAAGACGGAGTACCGTTTGTGATTTCTTTTCCGGTTTGACATAATGCAATGTTTATGAAATTAGTTGGTTGGATAATTGATTTCGGTGAATTTACTATGTTAATATTTTGATTTCATAGCCGTTTATGAAAAGGATCACAATGCTCAAATTTATTATTTCATTGTTTTTAGATAGGATCAGTGTTAAGCAATTTTTTCAAAATAATTCAAGCAAATTATTATTTACCCGAGTACCCCCTACCTACTCGGGTAAATAATTCAAACAATTTTTTCGATGTCAAGAAATATACACGGGTACACCCCTCCCTACCTAGGTAGGCATAAATTTTCAAAAAATACCCGGGTAGATAAGAGTGTACCTGGGTAGGCTTGGTGGTCAACGGTCAAACATGAGCATATTGGTGTTATATTTTTTGAGGAGGTTAAATTTTTGAAATAATGTATAATAAAGGTCAATTTGGTAATTAATTATTAATAAAATGTTACAAGGGTGAAAAAGCCCGAAATAAGAGCTTTGTTCTCGTAAGCAATGATCTAGCTATTAATTGAAGACGTTTAATAAATAATCTGCTAAACAATTTTGGGTATAATCATTAGCAACATTTTGTTCAATTGTGATTCCAGTGTACATACAATAATTGGTTGATTCACATTAAACTTAAAAATCAATGAGCTGTTAATTACAATTTTATATGATTACAAAGTAAAATAAAAGTAGTCAGTCTAGCATAATATATTAAAAACAAAATCATCTGAGATGTAAAATACATCAATAATTTTTTATCATAAAACTTTAAAGTGGAAATCTGCTCACCATGTCAGATTTCAGTTTATTTAATAAGATGTTAGTTTTAATTATTTGAATTGATAATTTGTAAAGAATTAATTTAACTCAAAATATTTAATTATTCAGTGAAAGCATATTAATAGTTTTATATTTAATATTCTATTTCTTTGACATAATCAAGTTTTACATAACGTTTCAGATAGTTTTAATTATTCCATTTTAATCACGTTTCAGATACAAAATTAAAGTTGTTATGTTTGTTTACCAAAAAAAAAAAAAAAAAAAGTTGTTAGGGAAGAGAACGCGTGCAGGGAGGAGAACACCATGCTTGACTTGTAGGGTCAATTTTTTAACTAACCTAACCAATTAAGAAACTCCATAAATGATGAACGATGATGCCTTAAAAAGGATATTGCACTGGAGGGGGAGAAGTGAGAACACTTTTTGAAGCTTTGTTTCTGCCATCATCTTCAGGTTCCTTTCTACACCTAAAGTTATCTATTATGTGAAAATGTGAGACCTTAAGATTTGTTTATCTCCATATGAACTATTTCATGATTATCGATATTTCCTCATTTTTATTCTTAATATTAGTTTTACATAACTTACTAACTCTCCTATTCTGTTTTGGTTTGTAAATATCTTTTTGGTCCTCAGTAAATTTTACGATGTTTGTTTTAGTCCCTAGCAAACTATTTGTAATTCCTAAAAAATTCAAAATGGACTCGTTTATTTAAAATCGTGGTCCCTCGCAAATTCAAAAAAAATCCATATTTCCCTCAAAAGGATTAAAATTGGTCTACTTTGAATTATGTAGGGACCACGAGTAGTCTTTTTATTTGCTAGAACTAAAGCAGACATCGTAAGATTTGCTAAGGACCGAAAATAATATTTATAATCTCCTTGCCCACATCCGGGCCCATAACTTATTCGTTCATCGTTTTTTAATTCTGAATTAATTCCTTATAATTCATCCAAAAAAAGGCAACTGTTATTGCTTTTGGTGTTTGGTTGCGAGACGTCGATGATGCATTTTAGCTATGAAGATTGAAGTCAATTACAGCTGAATCAATCTTTGTCGTACCAAACAGGTGTCTGTCTCAAATTTGGAATATAATGCTTCTCAAATGTTTGGATTTTTGCCGTTCTAAGGATACAAGTGCATCTTGTTAAGGTATCAACACACAAATGCAAGAGACAACCAAACGAATAATCTACGAAAGTTTTTCTTTATTATCAAACTCTCTTTTCTTGCTCTGTTCTTTCTATGACGATTACATCTCCTTATATGGTAGCTTGCTAAAAATAACTTAAACACCTATTAAAAGCTATTAAACGCAATAAAACATAAACCGTAGAAAACTTACACCATTTAACAAATATCAAAACCAAACCCCCATAACACTTAACCAACATTAATTCCTAAACATAAAACTTCTAGAGACCCATTAATCTAAAAATCCGTACATTTAAGTTTATCTAATAACACTCCTCCATAAACTTAAATGCTTCTTCCATCTTTCATCCCAAGCATCTTCTTGCAATTGTTGAGCAGCAACGTCGGCAGTGGCTTTGTGAAAATGTCCTCGACTTGCTCTTGACTGGTCACGTGTGTTAACTCCACATTTCCTTCCTTTACTTGATCCCGGATGAAGTGAAATCGGACGTCAATATGCTTGCTTCTCTCATGATTCACCGGGTTCTTGGCTAACTCTATAGCCGACTTGTTATCAACTCGAATCTCGGTTGGGCCGACTTGTTTTTCCTCCAACTTGCTTAGTAAATTCCTAAGCCATACTGCATGACAAACACACCAAGATGCTGCTACATATTCAGCTTCACAGGTAGACAAGGTTACAATGGGTTGCTTCTTCGAAATCCAAGTGAATGCCGTGTTGCCCATGAAAAACACATAACCAGCCGTGCTCTTTCGATCATCTACGTCTCCACACCAATCACTGTCAGAGTATCCAATCAACTTGTGTTTTGCTGAACTCGGGTAGTGTAACCCGTGTGAAATTGTACCTTGAACATACCTCAAAATTCTCTTTACCGCCTTCCAATGTGTGTATCTTGGCTCCTCCATGAACCGACTTACTACGCCGACACTCAACGAGATATCCGGCCTCGTGCATGTGAGATAGCGTAGGCTTCCCACCAAGCTTCTGTATTTGCTTGCATCAACTAGATCTCCACCAT